TTCCTTCAGCAGAGAATCTGTAGCACACTTGGATCATGCTGTCTTTAAGAGTACCACTTAAATTGTGGCAGTTGCTCACAATTGTAAACCAGAACTCTGAACACACCTGCTCTGGACCAGGTTAAGAGTTTAACATGAGTTACCATGAGTTACCATGGTGACCGCTTTTGTGACACTGAAAACTCTTGAGTTTTAAGCTTGACATACGCTGCTGACCTATTAGTCTCGCTTTGTGGTACACCCCTCAAGGCTAGTTGAGTACCATCTGGTGTTTTTCTTGTCACTAAAAGTGTTTTTTTTAAATCACTTTGGGGTCATTATCATGCACCCAAATAAATTTAGGATTAGTCAGTGCCTCTCTGTTGCATAAGAATTAAAAATACTTAGTCTTTGTACAGATTAGTATCATCTGTCTACAGTTGTCTCTAAGAAGTTAATATGGCTAAAAACCTTTTTGTGTGTTGTTCAGGAGGTGTGGGTAATGTACCATGGGGTACGACGTTACGAGGTTTCAAGGGGAGGTGGATGAAGACCTGTTGTGTCCAATATGTAGTGGAGTGTTAGAAGAACCAGTGCAGGCAAGTCTTTGATCAAAATACCCCCCACCTTTTAATTCTATCTGTATTTCTGACATTACATTTGTTTTATGTGCATATGCATTTTTCCACCTCAGGCTCCACACTGTGAGCATGCTTTCTGCAATGCCTGTATAACGCAGTGGTTTGCCCAGCAGCAGATTTGTCCTGTTGACCGCACAGTAGTGACGCTGGCTCACCTCCGTCCTGTGCCCCGCATTATGCGCAACATGTTGTCCAAACTTCAGATCAGCTGTGATAATGCGAGCTTTGGCTGCACAGCCACACTGCGGTTGGACCAGCTGCAGTCACATCTCAAGGACTGTGAGCACAACCCCAAAAGGCCTGTCAACTGTGAGGAGGGATGTGGGTAAGTGGATTCCATAGAATAAATCCTTACAAGCCTCCTTTGTATTTTATAGTATTAAATTTTCTTTTCTTTCTTAATATTCTGTTTTTCTCACTCTTGCAGGCTTGAAATGCCCAAAGATGAGCTGCCCAATCATAACTGTATTAAACACTTGCGGAGCGTTGTCCAGCAGCAGCAAACTAAAATTTCAGAGCTGGAAAAAACTGTAGCCGAACATAAACACCAGCTGGGGGAACAAGTAAGAGTATTTTGCCTACACAATAGTATATTTTTGACAAAATATTCAGTCTAGTCTTGATAAAATATTAACAGTTGTCTGTCTGTATGATATTTGGCAGAAATAATTCGAGTGCCATGTCTTTGTGGTATAAGACACAGATGCATGCCTATTATATGTGTTTGATGGACGTGCAATAACAATGGTCTCCTCATTCTTATTGCACTTTTTTTTTTTTTTGGTGTGGATGTGAATCTATTTGGGTTTTTTAAATGGACAGTTACAGATTTTGTACTTGAGGCAGTTTTGAGAGGTTTTTCATTCACTGTATTGCTTTTCATTTCCAGAAAAGAGACATTCAGCTGCTAAAAGCCTACATGAGAGCAATTCGCAGTGCAAACCCAAACTTGCAAAACCTTGAGGAGAGCATCGAGTACAATGAGATACTTGAGTAAGTGAAGCTTTCCTTTCCTCTCCCAATATTTGATCTGAAATAAATTCAGTTCCTAATTTTCTTTTTCTTTTTTTTTCTTTTAAATCTTCAGGTGGGTAAACTCCATGCAGCCTGCTAGAGTGACACGCTGGGGTGGCATGATCTCCACTCCTGATGCTGTCCTCCAAGCAGTCATCAAGCGATCCCTCATAGACAGCGGCTGTCCTCTCTCGATTGTAAACGACCTGATCGAAAACGCCCACGAGCGTAATTGGCCGCAGGGACTGGCCACTCTCGAGACGCGGCAGATGAACAGGCGCTACTATGAGAACTACGTTGCCAAGCGTATCCCTGGCAAGCAGGCAGTGGTGGTGATGGCCTGTGAGAATCAGCATATGGGGGAGGATATGATCCTGGAACCCGGCCTGGTTATGATCTTTGCGCACGGAGTCGAGGAGATCTTATAACTGTGCAGCTAGCTGAACTGATCCAGCGACGAATAGGGACGTTTTGCTTTGGGGGTTTGCTGTGATGAGTATGATTTCTCTCTTTGGAGTGAAACCTTTTGAATAAATCTGGCTTATTTAAAGTAAACTCTTAGGCTTACTCCTAAGCTTGATACCTATGCCTTAAAGTAAGGACAAATGCTTATTGAACCTGGCAAATATAAACTTAAACTGACTGATATCTAAGATAAAAGGTGAGATGTGATGTTTACAAGGTTTATATTTAGTGCATTATATGATCTGATTGTTCTGCTCCATGTCCTGATAGAGTAATAAGCCCAAACCCCAGTTTAATGTGCTCTGTTGTATAAATGCTTGTAAATAGAAATACTATATTGAATTATAAATGTTATACTCCTCACTGTAATTAGATTTTTCTGTTTTTGTTAATCTCAGTTCTCTTTAGTCAGCTTCTCTTACTGTCTACAGGGACGTGCTTGCTTTAGTATTTAGTTTCCTGTGAATATTCCCAGAGACATTGTGCTTCTCAGTTTAGATTGTTCAGACCTTCCGTGCCATTTGTTTTATTTATTGTGTTGCCTTTCACACAATTATGCTTGAAGATGTTATCATGTGACATTTGGAGCTCTGCCTTTATCGGTGCATTTGAAGTTCACTGCAGAAAGAAATTGATTTTGTGTTCTATCTGTTTGTTGCCTCAGTTGTACATATAGTCTGTATGTTGGGTCTAGTGAAAGTTTTAAAGTTTGGGATATGACTATGTATAATGAGCTTTGAAAAAGTGTTGTGGCTCATTTCTGATTTAAATATAGACATTTACATCATGGACATCTTTTTCATTATTCACAGTTGGCTAACATTGTTGCTGAAATGCCACTAAAACCAGACACAGCTTGGAGATTGTACCAGTATTTGTAAAGTCACTTTTAAGGCTTTCAAGAGGAGAAATGCTTCGCCATTAGTCACTCATTGCTGTAGTAAGACGAGCAAAAAAAGCTGTTGTTATAGAAACCCACACAAGTGGATAATTCCCTTTACTATTTTCCTTGTTATTGTTTTTGTTATGTGTCTGTTATGTACCATGTTGTACAGACAAGGTAATAAAATGTAAAATCTGGGTGGATTTTTGTCATTGGAAAAGCCTGAGTTTTTATTTGGCTTCCTAATTAGGAAAAAATGCAGTTCCTTATTTTACCACAACATGTCATCAGAGAACTGCTGGGAAGTACACTTCATAATTCACTTCAGCTGACTGCTTTATATAAAGATTTAAAACTGCTGCAGCCTGTAAGAAGTCACAATATGGAGTGTGAGGTGGTGCTGTCCCAGTTTACGAAAAAAGAGGAAAGTTTAACCACAAAACTAAAGACGGGGGGAAAAGTCTGACTACTCTGACCTGACTCACTCTCCTTTTCTAACCCAGACACCCACATGTTTTCCATGTCTGTTATCCTCTCCTGCCAGCCTCGTCCTCATTGTGCAGCTTAATCCCTCACCATTGTGCTCAGTGGAATGTGAAATCATGTGCTTTACCAAATATTGTGGTTCTTGTTAAAGTCCACACATATAATTATGTCATGTGGTTGGTTGAGGACTGGTATGCTGCAGTACCGCACTGGCCAGAATATTACAATACACCTCAGAATATGTGTAAATGTATAATAAAGTACTTAAGCCTTTCCACAAGAAGCATAATTTAAATAAACAGAACTTGGTTTAATGGAGACGCAGAGGAAGCATTCACCTCATTTAAGAAAATTTAAAGTGTGGCTGCATTATACTGCAGCTATATATGTGTTTGTTAGGAAATAAACAGGCAGTGCAACTGTTTGAATTTCTCTGTTATATTAATGGGCTGGGTCATTCCTACTATTCGGTGCCATTTCAGTGTGATCACTCTTCATCAAAAAATACAAAATTTTGAATTATTTTAACATTTCATCTAAAAGAGGGATTTTCAACCTATAAGAAAAATGTATTGGTCCAGCTAAGGATATTATATTATAATATTTTTTAAAATCAAAGTCTTTACCATGACGTGCCAAATGTCCACCCTGTTACAGGACATTCAATTTTCTATTAATAACTGTTTTGAATGCACAGTTATAGTAATATTTACATTTTCTAAAAGCTACAATGTCCCTTTTTAAAATCTGCAAGGAAATTTCAAGGAAGTATTTTAAACAAGCATTATATTGAAAGAAGACAGGTTCAGTTTTAAGACACAGTGTAATTTCAAAAGATTGTTTTTAGATTCAAAGGGAATATTAAAAAAAAATTGGCTCCATTTTTAAGTAACTTAATTTTGCTGATTCATTCCCTCCCAATAACCAAAGAGACATGCATTATGTTTGTTGATTTGATTTAATTAACAAAAGAAACACACAGGTAACAGGGTGGACAGAGGAGAAACAGGGTGGACAGGAGGTAACAGGGTGGACATAACATCAGTGACAAAAAATACCACCTTAAAGAAACTTCAAAAATCTACATGTAGCAGACATTCATCGTTTCTCAGATTTTCTCTCAGTTGTCTGTAGGCTCTATACTGCCATCGGATATTAAAGACGTGCCGCCTAAATCTGAGTAGTCCGTCATGAAATTCCCCTGCAAGTGCATCCTCTGTTGTCATGACAGTTGTCTTCACTGTAATTGTTGACTTTTTACCAGATACCTCTCCATCATTTAATTTTTCATTCTCTTCTAGAGACCACTTGGTAAAGGCTATCTCTGTGTTGTTAGGAGGTCTCAAGAGTGTGTGTGTTGTACTGAAACAGTCTTTGCACTCACCATATGCACAGACTTTGGATTTAGCATCACACATTGTTGCATCTACCATCTCTTCAATGTGTTTTGTTGCTGACAGACCTTGGACATACAGGGCATTGGCCATGAACTGTAAGTTTTCATGTGTCCTGCACTGACAGGTTTCACGATCAGCTTCTGTGGGCACCACAACCCAAAATGGTCTTAAGGTGCAGAAACAAGAATATGAGACCTGATGCTCAGTTTCTGAAAGAAACTTATGGTGCAGATTCTTCAGTGAATCAGTTAGCAAACGTTTCTGTTTTTTTATTTTCTTTTGAGTTAGTTTGCTTTCGTCCTGTTGTCATCCGACTGACGTCATCTCTTAAGAAGAAGGCCTTTATTTTCTGCTTGCAATCAACTGGTAATCTATTGCTTTCCTTTCTTTCAAAGGTTATGAGCCCTCCATCTTATCTTTGACCACGCTTTTTTGAAAAGCCTAGAGCTGTCTGTGCAGCCCTCTGTAGCCTGTATTTCTTTATAATTTTTCCTATTGTCGTTTTTGCAATAATTTGCCTCTCTCGTTCCTTTTTGGTGTTTTTGTATTTATTCCTGATTTCCTCAATGATTGATTCCTGCAGTAATAGTCTTTTCCTAATTGTGTTGCTAACTGTTTCATGACGCAGCAGTGCATCCACTTTAGAACGTGGGGATTTTTTTTCCCCACCCAAACGCTGGCACCTCTTCTTGTATTTTTCTTTTTTTCTCTTTTCCTTTTCCAACAAGGCCTTTAGCTCTTTAATTTCATTCTTGAGTCTCCTTCTTCCCTGTCTAATATTCCTTCGTCCAACAATGTATTGCCTACAACACAGGAAATATTGTCACAATTATTATATATATATGTTTAGATAAATGTTTAGATACAGTATAAGATAGACGTTGGATATTATATGTTTATAATGTATTAGGCAGGTAGACTCACACACACACACACACACACACACACACTCACCCTCTCTCTCTCTCTCTTTTTAGGGCAAAATCACGTTTTATCATTCAAATACAAAATCTACCTAATCAGCAAAGCATTGAACTGTCAACTCTTCTTCTAACCTTGAGGGTCCTGGTTGCGGGGCATTTTCTGGCTCTAGGGAATATTCTGGACTTAGGGGAGGAGTATTCATAGCCTCAAATTCTGTCCTGCCTTTGGCACTAGCCCTCTGCTTTCTTTTCCTTTCTCGCCACTGCTTTCTCTGTGCTCTCTTCTGTCGTTCACTGAGATCTGCCACTTTCTTTTTTTCCCCCTTCCTCTCTGTCCTTTCTCCACTTCTCTTTCTCTTTATTGAGATATATCTGTCTTCTCTCAGGGTCAGCATCACGACGTGCTCGGTAGCGCCGCTGCTTCTCCGCAGCAGACATTGGTGCCATTCCCTGAAAAATGTATACTATTCAAAATCTTCTAAAAGTATATATATACAGGTTAATAATAATTACCACTACACACTTGTATAAATAACCCTAAACACTAAACTTCTATCATCTTACGTCCCCCCTGTTACCATGTGTCCCCCCTGTTACAGTGCATAGCAATAACAGGGGTGACGGTATCAGGGGGGAGATTTTATGCTAAACTTAGCCATTACTACTAGTATGATGAACAACAAGCTAGTACATGGTGACCACTAAGAACCATTTTTAACATGTTTATTAGCCATATTATAAAAATTACAAAAAAAAATTGTTTCCACTATTAATAAGCGTAACAGGTTGGACGTGTTATGCTTTGCCACATTACAAAATCTTGCTAAAACATTGAAAAAAAGGGTTGATTAAAGAGTGGTACTTACTCGTCTTCTTCTTGAAAGTTTTCCCTCCAAAATATGCTACATCCGGGAGTGTCATGTGACTAAAAGAATAATCAGGTGATGTGTTCTATGGAATTCTTATCAGAGTAACAGGGGTGACAGTTGATTCAGGGACACAACATTTTTTAAAGATTTTAAGTATTAAACATGCATTAATAATAAAAAAGAACATTTGATGAGGAACATTAGAAATAAGCCAATCCAGAAATGATGAAAAATCTAGATTTATTATTTTTTTTTAAGTTATATTTGTAACTGAAGTCGAGCAAGCATGACTGGGGACATAGTACTTTAGTGACTTGTGCTAAAATAAAAGTAATTTACTTTTAATGTATTTATCCTGTGTATATATCAATGTGTTCTATGGTAGAGGGGGGTTAAACATACAAGAAAATGGTTTAGAAATAAGCATTAGACAAGTTTTACACTAAATATACCATATTATGTCATTAGGACTCAAATGGCACCGAATAGTAAGAATGACCCGGCTACTGCGTGAGCAACTCATTCACATACTGTGCGATAACACCAGAAGCTGTACGGCGTTCACCCATAACAGACATCTTGCATGGTAAGTTCAATTTTTCATTTTATCTGTAACGTATCCGTCGTTAGTGGTGTACAAATGTAATGAAGTAAAAAGGAACAAAAAACAAAACTTTTATTATTTAATAACAAAATACTCGTTTCTAATTGGATGAAGTTAACGTAAAACTCGCCAGCAATAGTATAGTCCCGGATTTTGTTCACGTTCGATATCAATACGCACTGTTTGTTAAAGATATGAGTTCATAGCCGCAGTATTTACAGTATTTCACTGTTTACTCACTATTTGATTAAAAGCATACATCGGATAGCAGCGTAGCCTCTATAAGGCTTATAACCACGCAAATACAATTAATATTTATCGTTATTGGTCACTATCTATAAACAAATTCTATCAACACCAAGGTGGCTCGAGGTCTGTAGTCTAAGTAGCCATAAGTTTAGTATTTATTTATCAATTTTTTGTTAATGTTGTTACAAGCAATTTGAAGGGGTTAGACGGTGATATTGTTTTATTGTAACCACGGTGGCTTTTTTTGTTCTGCGCCTTAACATGTGACGTCAGCTTCATCACTTTAAAAAGGCTCACGATGGACAGAAACACCAAAAACAACAACAGCGCTGCAAATGATAAAACTGTTGAAAGCATTAAGGTGCAGCTTTTAGCGTATACTTCCTGAAAGATGCAGAGTGATAACTGCGCTTTTACAGCTGCATAATTTAAATGAAGCATTACTTTCTAACTTTGCAGATGGACGCACGGGACCGGAATAACGGGTGTGTATTGGCTAGCAAAGGAGGGCGCAGATCAGCTGAGGCGGTGCTTCGCCGGAGGGATCCTCAGTCGCTGCTCTGCGCAGTAGTTCACCGCTTCCACTCGGCAGACCTCGCCGCCTCCGTTTAAAGTTAACGACCACTTTGCTTCGCGTCTGAGAGCAGGATTTTGGTTTTGATTTTTTCTTCTGCACAGCGTCGAGACGGACTGTGTAAAGGCAACCAACACAGTGGCGGCGGAAAGGTAAATGACAAAAAAACAAAACCTTGCACCGTTCGCATTGATCGAAGTTTTAGCAAACCTCTATACGTCTTTCGGCTGCAGATGAGCCCCAGTCAAATAAGAGAGAGTAAAATTTCGTCTTGGTTTTGCGCTGCTATTAAGAATTGAATGAAAAGATCCGAGCAGATTCATGAGGATATCGATGAATTTCAGCTTGGTGCTTTTTTGCTGCTAATAACAGAGTAATTCACTCAGCAGATCAGCCTTTTAAAAATCCCCACAAACATGCAAAATTTCAGTTCCCTTTGCCAATAAGTTTGGTACCTTTGTCAGCCTATTTCATGTGTCAGAGTAGGAAATGGTAAGCATGTAGGCTGCTAAACACCTGAAGATACTTCATGTAAAACACTTACTGTTTTCTGTTTGTCCAAGCATGTCAGCAGCATACTCGACAAACAGGTTATTGGGTGATTACACTGCCTGATAGGACTTTATCTGAGTAACCCCCATCTGAGATTACAGGTGTTGCAGGGTATGGTGCTACACCAGTGGGAAAAAACAATAAGTACACCCCATAAGGGCTTTTGTATGAGTTTTCGTCACTACTGGGAAGGCAAAATCCTTCCTGGTGTGAAGTAGGTGATGGGGCACGTTGGTGAATAGCACTATTGCATTGTTTACTCAAACCTCTCCTTTCACTGGCATATGTCTGCAAAACACGAGTCCCCATGTTAAGTGGAAAAAGAAAGCATACAGGACAGTCTAGATATCAGGTTTGTGCCCCCCATCACCACTCTTTTTGTCCCAAACTCTCCAGTTTTGCAAGCGCTTTACATCCAAGTGATTTAATTTACAGAGCAGTTTTTCCTTTGTCATCTTGTGAGCAGGTTATTTTTAACGCTGAATAGGCTCCGAGGTGCTCATTTGTTTGCGGCTGCAAGAGGGTTTTTAGGAACAGACAATCAATAGTGTAGTCAGGTCAATTGTGCCATTGTTCACGTTTGCATCACAGGCTAGAGGATGTAAATTAAGTAGAATTCAGCCCATTCTGTGACTTTCGGTTTAACTTGCACATTTTTAATGTTCCAGCTATAGTTTTGCAGGATATGAGAAAGGATGAGCTTCCCTTCCTTTATTATATTAGCAAACCAGCCTAAAATGAATGAGCTACTACCTGTGAATATGGCATGAAGTGTCCTACATCAGTAATTTTCAGTAACACACTATGGTAGCATGCTGCGACTTGTAACGCTGATCCTTTCCAGTGAAGAAAATTCCTCAAAGTACAGGTTTTTTCCCAGTTCATAATTGGTCTTTAGTTGGCGGTAACTACACAAGTAAGCATGATCAGATCACATAAGTTAAAAGCAAAGATTAGGTATCTTATTTGACAGAAGTCCAGTTATTTCCACATTAGTGCTGATCATTTTGAAATAAAAATATGTATTATGCAAGAATTAATAAAGCCTCAATCAACAAAACTGGTTTTTCTGGCTCTGACTGAACCATTTAAAAATGTTCAATGCAGGAAATCCCGAATCTGTATATTATAGCTCTTTCGGATGGAAAAGACTAAATTACTGGTATGATAGTGGAAAATACCGCTGAACAGCACTTGAGATCATTTTAAAAGAAATGTAACATTTGTTTCATTTTTAGTTGTGGAGAGATCTGTGGGTGAACCAGACGAGACTCCCTGATAAGTGCAAACAGTCACACCATAAAAGCAATGTGGCCCTTATATGACAGCATGCACTCTCACTAGTCTGGGCAGGTTTGAGGGTTTTTTTTCTGAAGGCAGTATGGTGTTCTACAGGGCTGTCTCCACACACACAAACACGCACACACAGCTATTATATAAGTCACATTCAAGTCTGAACTCAGAGTGATGGGCTGCTTTCACTTTGAAGCTTGTGAGCATGTAAAGCCCTGCCTACATTTCCAAGAAATGTGTGATTCATGCTGTAGTGAATAGCTTTTGTTGTTTTTTTGTTCAGTCTTTTTTTGTCTTGATTTACAAGCCATGTTTATTATGTTCACATTATCCAGTATTCCTCCTAACTGGAGCCTGCAGTTTGCATTCTTCAAATATCACCAAACAGTGGTAGACAAGGGAAAGCCCTGTTTAACAGAGCATGCTCAATTCTGACTGCGGAATTGTTTTGGCCCAGCTTTGTGCGCTCTATCTATCTATCTATCTATCCATCCATCCATCCATCCATCCATCCATCCATCCTGATCGATGAAAGTTATAATGAAGTTTTACTGAAGATGACCCCCCCCCCCCAAAAAAAAAAACGACAACACAAAAAACAAAACAAAACAGAAGTAGAAGCACTACATAAATGTGCAGAAGTACCATTTTTCCACCACCACCAGTTAGTGGTTTGTAACTTCAGGCTTAACCTGCAAACTGACCTCTTAAGCAAACAGTCCATTTATAGTTAGGGGAGTGTTTCCCTCTTCATGCAATGAGTCACAGTAGCATCTGCATGTAGAACGCAATTTGGAGCGTGTCCTCTAGTTTTGAAGGCCAACCAAGACCTGTGGTGTGGGAGGAGGCACCGATGAAGGGGGAAGACTCACAGTTATGACTGGGCTCCCCTTCCCTCTAATGGATACCCCCCCCCTTTCTGCCTCTGGATCCTCCTACCTGTTAGTCACCCATGGCAGCACTTTGACAGAGAGCAGCTGATGTAGGGAAACACTTTCCATAGCAACCAAACATGTCTGTCCTTCCACTTGTGTTAACCCGATGCATTCGGCACACTCAATGAGCAGACTCGTTGTAGATTCGAGAGAAAAACAAATGGCCAACATTGTATGTTGACTTCTCTTTCTTCAAAGAACCTACGCAGTGTTTTCCAACCGCAGAATGACGGAGTCAGTGACTTACACCCTGCAAGTGTTGCAAAACAGCAGATTTCCTTGACACAAGGCGTAGGCGTTATGACAGCTTGCACAAACATTAGCCTGCGTGGAAAAAGGTCATCCCCAAGTATACCTTCAAGTGCCTGTTGTAAACATGGTGGTTTTAGGGTCGT